ATATAAAGGATAAGTGTTACAAGTTGCATGTGTATCCTCAAAACAGTAACAATCAAAATTATAGACCAGGAAATTACAATGGTGGTTAGAGTTTTAGACAACAAAGCTCAAATTACAAAGGAAAGAGAGTGGTAGCAAATGTACATGGTACTGTAAGTGATATGGTGTCTGCTAATGGAGAGGAACAATCACAATCACAAGGTGACAATTTACAGAATGTTAACTTCACGAAGGAACAATATGGACAGATCATGAAGCTATTGCAACATTTCCAGAATGAGAATATGGGAGAAGATGCCGATACTAATAATGCTTCTGGTATGACTGCTGGATCAATGAATTTTGCAGGTATTGTGGTTTGCTCTTCCTCTACTGTTTTTGACAATACTTCATGCAAATGTTTTGAATCAAGTGATAATTTGTGGATCATTGACTCAGGAGCATCAAACCACATAACTTTTAGTAGAAATCTCTAATCAATATCAGAACCTTACCTTTTCCTACACTAGTTTCCCTTTCAAATAGATACAAAGTCAAAGTAACAGAGTTTGGAGGTCTACCAATCACATCTAGCATCATTTACATCAAGTTTTATATGTGCCTTCTTTTAAGTATAATCTAGTTTCAGTTCATTTCCTAACCACTACCATGAAATGCATAGTCATGTTCACTAATGCATTGTGTCTATTGCAGGCCCCTTTAGTGAAGAGGCCTCAGGTTCGTGGTAATTGTAGAGATGAGCTTTACTTCTTATGCACAAAATGCTTGAACACCTCTGATAGAATCAATACATGTCAAATATGTTGTTGTTTTCCTAATAATAGTCTATTTTCTAGTTTCATTAAAGATAAAACATGTACTTGTTTTTATGCAAATTCTTGTCCTCCAGATCAATACAAAGTGCCTGTTTCTAATTCTGTTCCTCTTAAGTGTAAAACTTCTTCTAATAATGTTGATGTTCTGGCTAATCACAACTCTTGTAGTACTGCTGGAGATAATGTAGATTTACTGTGGCACAATAGACTTAGCCATGTACCTTTTGTTAAAATGAAAAGTATCACTGACTTACCAGTCATTTTTTCTCCCAAACAACCTTTTTCTGCAACATTTTTCCAATGTCAAGACAACAAAGATTACCTTTTAGTCATAGCACAAGCCAAACCAAATCCATTTTTGAGCTACTACACATTGACTTATGGGGACCTTATCATGTATCCACCTATGACAATTACAAATATTTCATTACATTAGTAGATGATTATAGCAGATCAACTTGGACACATCTCTTAAGTACCAAGAGCAATGCTCTACAGGTTTTGAAAAATTTCATAGCCATGGTGGAAAATCAATTTAGTACCACAGTCAAAGGCATTAGAACAGACAATGGACTGGAATTTACTAGTAATGAAACACACCAATTTCTTTTATCCAAAGGGATTATTCATCAGAAAACTTGTCCATAAACACCTCAAAAAAATAGTATAGTGGAAAGAAAAATAAATATTTGTTGGAAACAGCCAGAGCTCTTTTATTTCAATATAAACTACCTATAAGATATTGGGGAGAGTGTGTTTTAACAGCTACACATCTTATTAACAGACTTCCATCAAGTCATTTGAAAAATAAGTGTCCACATGAAGTATTATACAAAAAGAAACCAAACTATAGCCAACTTAGGTCCTTTGATTGTCTTTGTTATCCTATTGTTCCAAAAGTACTTAGAGATAAGTTTGAGCCAAGAACAGTCCAAATATTTTCTTGGGATATCTTTTTGGAACAAAAGGTTATAAGGTAATGAATCTAGCTACAAAGAAGATACATATCTCCAGGGATGTGATTTTCCATGAACATGTTTTTACTTTTACTTTATCAACTGAAAGTATCTCTTTTCCTTCTGTTTTGAAGTCTTTTTCATCTCCTGATTATACTGATTGGATTCATATAAAAACTATGTAAATGATTGTGACAATGTGACTAATACAACTCCTTCTCATCTATCTAATCACACTACTCAAAATCCTAATACACCTTCCACCACTGCCATTACATTTTCAACACCATCTCAACATGATACTTCCACAGTAGTACAGAGAAGGTCTCATAGGGAAAATAAAATACCATCACATTTGAAAGACTATATTGTGAATATTCCCAATTTGAAATCAGCCAACACCAACACACAAAACACACAACTCAACACCAACTTATCTCTTACTGCGCTATTTACCAAACACCACTATATTATCTCTTGAAGTCATTGCATCTAATAGTCAGTCACTTGTTGAGAACATTTGTCATGATAGTGAGACATCATCATATGAGGAAGCATCACTAAATCCTGCATGGCAAAAGGCTATGACACAAGAATTTGAAGCATTGTATGCTAATGATACTTGGGATCTTGTTGCTTTACGACCAAACAAACAAGCAGTTGGATTTAGGTGGGTGTACAAAGTTAAACATAAAGCAGATGGAAGCATAGAAAGGTTCAAGGCATGAC